AATTGAAAATGGAGAAAAACAAAACAAAAATGGAAAATATATTCCTGATCGAAGTGCAAACGATCAGAACGAAAAGAGCAGAGAGACTTTCGTTGGAAAATTAACGTTCTTTCTCGTTCTTTTTCGTTTTCCGTTTTCTGTGTCACTTTTACTTCTCCGATTTCTTCTGTAGGTAATCCGCTTATATTAGAAACATTTCCAACGATGAGGAATTTCTTGAAAGACTTTAAATCCACTGTTATCGTTATCTTTTTTTTTTTAATATCTTTCTCGTAGTTTCCCGTGTTTAATTATTTTATTTTTTGCTTTTAGTTTTCTTTTTCTCTTTGTTTTTGCTATAGTTTGCTGATTTGTTAGAAATTTTCTTTTATCCCAGGAGAAAATAACCAAAAATGGCTGAAAACTTTCATTCAGTGTGTATTGTATTTTAATCCAGCAGATGTCAAGATGTACCGGCAAATCTGTTATTATTATTATTATTATTATTATTATTATTATTATTATTACACGAATTATCACACCAGTATCATTTGGTGGCTCACGTTAGGTATCAAGTGACAACAATTCCTTCAAAGCTCCAATACTCAATCTGATTTTTATCAGCGCTCTCATCTAGATGTCTTTGACTCTCCCCGAGTTCTTTGTATTGATATTCTTATTCTTCACTGAATTTGAGAGATTAGAATAGAGATCGTAGCCATGAACATAGTTTCTTAGTTCTTGGCAAGTCGATAGGACGTGTACTTTTTTGTTGTCGTAGACTTTCTATAGGTAGCATGTGTCTGGCTCCAGATGTCGCCAAAATGAATCTCACACTTATTGTTACGACGAAGCCTCAAAGAAGCAAGCTGCATCGGCAGATTGGCTTTGGGGATAACCTCCTAGTCTCCTGACGCGTATCCGAGCTTCACTCGATGCCAGTAACTGCTCCCAACATGCAAAAGTGTTCAACACCGCTAATCCTAAGACGTGTGCAAGTGGAAGAAAAACTGTAGATATATGAACGCCCACTGTAGAGGAAGGAAAGAATGCGAGAGTTTCGTAGATCCAAAAAGAGAATGTAGAATCTATGTATGGGGAAAACACCAAAACCACACACCCACTGACCGAGAGTGATTGATGATGTCTGAACTTGAATAAAATGTACTCTTATGTAATCTAGAATAAATATCACGAGTTCTCATTCCAATGTCTAACGAATATTGGGATATCTATCTATCTAATCTATCTATATATATATATATATATATATATATATATATAAATTATTACAAAAGAGCTCTTAAATCATTGATATGTGCTCCATGTATCGATTTAAAAAAATGAATGAATTAAATTAGAGATATTTATTTCAGAAATTTTCTTTTGAAGTGAGACGAATAGTTCCTTATAGTTAATCCAGAACGAATATCCTCACTTTGAATGTTTCTCAGTGATGTTGAATCATTTACGTTTTTATCGTTTTCCTTGTTTACGGACTTGATCCCGATTTAAAATACAATCCGATGGGACTAGTTGATTAAAATTTGTTTCGTGAATTTGACGACATAATAATTTTGAATTCAATTCCTGGGCTAAGTAAATACAAAACCCTAATTCAGTGAAAACAGCGAGAGAGAAATAACCGAGCAATAATAAATAAAAAGAAAACTATATATCCCTGCCGTGACAGTATATCCCCGTAGTTGAAATAAAGGGCTCATTTCGAAATTCCCTGAAGGTTTCTTTCGTCGAAACAAACTGGATGACACAACCGTCGAAACGTTGTATAACTGTAAATAATTCCGGCGAAATAATTCATCCCAGAAATTTTGATGGAAATAATTCTTTGTCGTTCTTTATTTATTTATTTTTTTTTTATCTTTTTACTTTTGTTTTACGTTCATAAAACAGAGCTTCGTCTGTTGGACACGTGAATCAACAATTACTGTTTTTTTTTTACAGTCGAAACGTTGTAATAATAACTTTGAAGATGTGGGAATAATTCATCCCAGAAATTTTGACGGAAATAATTCTTTGTCGTTTGTTATTTTTTTTATTTTTTTTTTATCTTTTTTACTTTTGTTTTAGGTTCATAAAACAGAAGATACGTGAATCAACACTTACTGTTTTTTTTACAGTCGAAACGTTGTAATAATAACTGTGAAATAATTCTTGAAATAATTCCTATAGAAATTTTGACGGAAATAATTCTTTGTCGTTCGTTATTTATTTATTTATTTTTTTTATCTTTTTACTTTTGTTTTAGGTTCACAAAGAGCTTGGTCTGTTGGACACGTGAATCAACACTAACTGTTTTTTTGTTTTTTTTTAAACAGTGGAAACGTTGTAATAATGACGTTGAAGATGTGGGAAGATGTGGGAATAAATCCGAGTGTAAATAATTCATCTTAAAAATTCTGACGGAATTTTAATTATTTATTTCTTTTTTTTTTGTCTTTGTTTTAGGTTCATTTTTTTTAATACTCGCATCAGGATAGAAAGACAGAACTTCACGTTT